GAAATAGCTAAAATAAAAAAACGAGCCAGGTCAAACAAAGGTCAGGGGGACATAGACCTTATCTGCACTAGATAGTTCCATATCTTACATAAACCCTTCATGTTACCAATGATGTCATAATAATGTAAAACTAATAAAATCCTATAAGTTCCTTATAAATTCGTGTCTGTTCTACAGAGGTAAGCGCTAACAGGTTTGGCAGTACATGGTTTCAATGCTGTACGCTACATGCCAGTTCGAACAATGCCGTTTCGCCGAACAATGCCGCTACATGCCAATTCGAACAGTTCGCTACATGCCAACCGAAACATTTACCGAAATTTTAAGAACGATAACGTATATATGCGCACCTAGTTCCGTCTTCGCCTATAGATGAAACTATTCTGCTCTTAATGTAAAGGAATGCGAGCAGACGGTAAACCCTTCAGGCAGAGACGTTTGATGATTTATTACGCAAATCCGGTAGCAACAGAAATAATATAGATAACCATATTATTATCTGTATTATTTATAGGTTATCTATATGGTAGCAACGCACTCACGCGAAAGTTGTTACGTTACTTCAACGCTGACACGAAGTAATAAATCTATTATAAAGCTGTAGTGTCAGAGTACAGTGTCTATGGACGCCAGGTCAAGGCTATCAGACATAGGTGTGCGCGAAACCGGTAGGTATACGTGGCAGTCGTCGCGCGTGTTGACATCGTGTGTCCCTAATCCGTGCGCTTAACTAAACTGCACTTGCGTTTTTTGCTTATTAACCTTGACGCCTATGCGAACCCAAAAAATACGTATGTTAAACCTAGTAATGTGTAGCTCTGTTATTTCTCAACGATACGCATTAGTAAAAAAATTTATTAGATACTCTAAACGTATTTTTAACGCGACTTTGTAAAAGGAACTTTTACAAGGCTTTAATTCTGTCTAATGCATTGTAAATAAAATTTTTTGTAAACTTGAATAACATGGCGTACTCGTATTCGGTTGGTTGCTTCATTTGCACTAAACAATTTCTGTTTTCAAACACATCTTCCGTGCTATTCGCATATTAATATTATTCGCAGTTAATATCGCATATCGTCAGCGTTAGGAAATGACAACCGATATAGAGGTGTTTGAATAACTGCTCTACTTAGTGTTGTTAGACGGATGACTACAGTTAGGAATATATTCGCACCTTAAATGCTAGAGTTCAGACACACGTCTAAGTTATATACCTATAAACCTATAAAACGCGTCCAAGTTTTTAATTTTATGCGCGTTATATAGCTGTTACATCCGTGATAAAAATTCAGTGGTATATACTAACTGTATAAATAATGAATCTCGGATTAGGTATTCAGTACATGTCGTGACATTCATTTATCTTTGTATATCAAATATCGCTGACCTAAGGATGTATGAGGACACAACGCCGTGCGATAAGTCATATAATTTTTTGTAGTATATAGTGCTTCAAGTATTGACATGTCTTGAATGCATGATGTATATAGTAAATCATGCGTCGCGCCAAGCCTTTAGTCGTAGGCGAAGCACGAGCGAAAACGCGATGCTTAGGCGTGTAAGTACGGACATTAGCTTAGCACAGGTGGAATAGCTCAACCCTACAATCTCATACATCCTGACCTACCGGACCCGGTTGTGTTTATATACCTACATGTTGGAGTGACACTGCTCGCAAGGATCTCTCAATCCAATTAACACCAATGATGATAATAATAATAGTATTGATAATAACAATAATAATAATACTGATAATAATGACAGTAATAGTCATGATATTTTACGCTATTGCAGTAAGTCTGACAGCTCTGAACTGCTGGAGTGTAACATGGGCCGCACACATGCAGAACTGGATGTTCTACATTAAATTGGTGGCCCTGGGTGCAATTATTATCATGGGATTTGTGCAAATGATCATGAGTGAGGGAGACATCCCAGGTTTCCAGTCCGCCTTCGCCGGGAGCTCGTCTTCGATCGGGGAGATAGGCCTGGCGATGTATTCCGGTCTATTCGCTTACGCCGGTTTGTAAGTCGATTATAAAATTACATTATACATCCTTATGTACCATATATAACATGCTACATATTGCATTATGCATAAGCTATTACATATTATTTACTATGTGCTATAAACTGTATGGCAGCTGTTCGAACAAGTGTTACACTGATTTCTATGTGTAGATTTGCTGAGAAAGGGTTATCTTGTGGCCCAGTTTTTCTTGTTGGGTACGCCTGTGTGGATAGGTTTAGTGGGGAGAGATAAATTTAATTATAATATAACGGAAGCATCGAACCAGCAAGTGTTTCTTAAGGTTAGAACTTGAAATCGGCTAGGATTGTAATCATGACCGGAAGATCGGAAATGTATAGTTCCATTGAGAAAAACATATATCAGTTTTCATTCTGCATACATGATAGCAGGAGCAATATTCCTATTGCAATATTGCTAGCAATATTGCATAATAGCCTATAATGCATATTGCATGATATTGCAGTATAGGGAATATTGCATGATAGCCTATCATGATTGCATGATATATTCCTAGCAATATTGCATGATAGCAATATTCCCTATTATCTACTCCTGATGATAGTAAGTGCTATATCACCTTCTTTGTTCTTTGAGTCATCACATTGTATCGTTATGACAAAGGATTAATATTAGAAGGAAGAATAACGAATAAATAGAAGAATACTACATTACTCACTAGTGAGCTATTGAGTTATGATTGCAGACTAACTGAAGTAATATAGTATTAGCGATAAAATTAATGGATGAAGATAAATCATAGATTGCTATACTGAGTGGTATCTTAAACTTATATACAATTCCTGGTTTCTTTCAGCGAAGTCATTAATTATAGTGCTGAAGAGATAAAAGATGTTAAAAGGTATTTATTATTTATGTTTGTTAATTTAGAGAGCGGTTGTGTGCGCAGCGCACGAACTTATAACTCATGCAGTAAGTGTAACTCAAAAACCTCATTGATTTATATGACCGGACGCCCATGCAGTTACCGGACGCCAGCTCCCAGGCTACGAGTCCGGTCATATATTTCTTATGTGAACCCAACTATGTTTTTTCAGTAAAAAACAATAAACAATCAGTTTTTACCATAATATTACTTACCTTTAGGTATTTTTTCTAATAAAATCGACGATTTGAAAGGGGTGTGGCCTAATCGTGACGTGGATTTGGGAATCTGTGCTGAGCTTTTTAATGGATGACCGGACGCGTAGCCACTGAAATTTATGGCATTTATTTTTATCACAGTTTTATTAATAAATAAATGGTTGTTGTATCTTCGTGGCAGGAATCTTCCAAGGACGATATACATTTCCATAGCTATCGTGACCACTGTGTATACATTAGGCAACATTGCCTACTTCACAGTTCTTACGAAAGAAGAAATACTGGGGAGCAGTGCTGTTGCAGCGGTGAGAAGCGTAGTTAGATTAAATTTTAAAAACAAGCGCTCCATTCAGATAAGGTGCAAGAAAATCACATGGGGGTAATTTCGCGCGGGGCGGAAGCAACAATATTATGCGAGATGATTCATCAATACATTTTTATGCGCGGAAAATGGTTGAACATTGCCTAAGATATTTTCTGAGTGAGTATTCGTGATTTTAACGTGATTGACACGGACCAAATGCATTTAAATATTAGTTATTCATTCACAACGGTCATCTGGTAGCTGTAGCGTATCGATTGTTTTTCAGACTTTTGCGGAACGCACCATGGGACCTATAGCGATAATAATACCTATCATGGTCATGTGTTCCGTGATGGGAGGTCTCAACTGTAACATATTCACTACTGGAAGGTTAGAAATATATATATATATTATATATATATATAATAGTATGATATAATTATATACAATATTTAAAATATAGTTACTCTTAATTTTTTCCGCTAATTTTTTTATTCCGCTGCCCGATATAAAACCGCGAAACACGAATAGCCATATATAGTAATTAAGCAGGTATATATGCCCTATGTAGATATTGACAGGGTAACCATTGCGGTGCTGTTTTGTGCTGCAACGGCATTAGTTTATGATATAAGTAGGTAAATTACACATTGTTTACGTTATACCCCCTACAGACTGCAAATTTGATCTTACGTCAAATTAGTTCGGGGCAGGCGTGCTCTAAATTTTTTCAGTGTGTACACGCTATCCCGGAGTCGGGACTAAATACGCACTAATCCGGACTAATGCGAATGGAGGTGGGCCAGACCCGCTTCGAAGCGTGCTAGCTAAAGTTATTCCGCGCGAAAAATTGTGTGTGGACGCAAGCCGGGCGATATTTCGATATGCGCATGCGCATACTTGTTTTGATAACATAAGAGTACAGTAGTGTGTGAATTTGTGTCTGCAATTTTGTTTTTGGACTTCTCTTTGCTAAAGTATAATTACAATTTGGCCAGAAGATCTATCCAAAATGTATGGGAAGGCAGACATGCATGGGAATGTGTATGTTTACGTTTCAATTGCTGATAAAATGGCCCAATTGAATTATAATGAGATACCCAGATTCGAGTATCGTGCTTAACTTTTACCCCGGTTGAGTATTCATATTTTGTGTCTGTACGCTGCGATTAAGTGCGCGTCTGGCCCGGGCCTGGCTGAGATTAGTTTGATGTAGGATGGAATTTTGCAGTCTGTACGGGGTATTAGAAAATGCATGAAATTTTGCGTTCATGGGCAGATAGCAGTAACTGTTGATCTCTCGAGTCCGCTGGTACATTGCGGCAGGAAATACGCTCAACATCCCAACAAATCTTTTGATAACATATTAGTGTCACCGATAAGAATTTCTGAACCGGGCCATTTTCAACAATTTGGCTGTCGGCAGCAAAGGTTATTACCATGATTTCAACCGCCATCACGTAGTAGCACACCATTGTCGTACGTTGTGCTATCATACAAGCTACATTCCACAGCGGTAACATGCGCAACTAACGTACGTAATGTAAGAAACATAATGTAACTAACGTAATGTAAGTAACGTAACGTAATGTAAAGTAATGTAAGAACGCCTTTTCCTTACCAGGGTCTATTTTGTGAGCGCTAGAGATGGAGGACACATGCCTTCCATCATAGGCATGCTCAACGTACATCGTTACACGCCATTCCCTGCAATGATACTCAGCGTAATGTCTCGTCCATTACACCGTGTTATATTATTATTATTATTATTATTATTATTATTAGTATTATTATTAGTATTATTATTAGTATTATTATTATTATTTATTAGTATTATTTATTATTATTATTATTATTATTATTATTTAGGGGTTGTTCACAATTATCAACATTTTCACAAGTGTACAAAGAGTACACTTTTTCAAGACCATTTTTTCACACTATTCTACATAGAGATACATGTATATGAATTACATGCAAACCCTGTTATAACGAGCACGGATGTAACGAAATCTTGATATAAAGAATGAAATTTTCTGGCACAAACAAGTGGAAACAGATCAAAATTATTAAATACTGTTTATAATAAATACGAATTCATTGTAACAAGCATAATTTGGTGGTCCCAAATGACCTCAATATAAAGGGATTTGCCTGTAGTCTAATTTAGCTACAAAACGAAGAAAAATATTAAAAAATGCGTAAAAGATTTATATCCTGTTTGCTTAGTTTTATTGATTGATTGTTTCACAAAAAGATGATGATGATAACGCTGATTGTGACAATGATAATGATGATGATGATGATAATGATGATGATGATGATAATGATGATGATGATGATGATGACAGTATTGATGGTGATCATGATAAAGATGGTGATGATGATGATCATGGTGGTGGAGATGGCGATGACAGTGATGATGGTGAATTATCTACAAATTGACAAAATAGTATTTACCCGTTGAGGACGGTGCCAAATATATTGCATTGGACTGGATCCTATGGAGAATGCATGTTCTCTGGCCTTCAGACACGACATCTGCTCGTTTACGTTGATCATTCACAAACACAAAAGCATTTATAAACTCCATGTATTTGTTGGTCGGGTTCTTGTGGACAAGACATCCTCGTTGATGGAGGAATTTCAACAATTGATCCAGGTCATCAGCGCGGCTAGAACTATTGCCCGCCATCGTGCTGGTTGGTTACACAGACTGTCTGTGTAACCAACCGGCACGATGGCGGGCAATAGTTCAGACTCAGGGTTTCTTCTGAGGGAAAATTAGACAACGGAGGTAATGGCCAGTTTGGGCGAAAACGCGCATACGTTTCAAAGGCGTATTTGCACGTCTCGATGACCTAGCAAAGCGAGCACCGCAGGAGCTCGCTCAGCTAAGGGGGTCCGGGGGCATGCCCCCCGGGAAATGTTTGAAAAACTGGTGCAATTTGGTTCATTCTAAGCTATTCTGAACACATTGTATGACTCTTGAATCTATTTTTCAAGTTGTCAAAAGGAACAAATAAACTATGAATATGAAATAATACAAGTATTCATATTTATAAAAATAGTAATACCGTCATGAAATGAAATGCGATTTTATTTCAACGAAAGCACTTTCCTAGTGCAGAATACAAACGAACACCCATGCGTATGCATGCATAGGTATAGCGCCCTTAATTCGCTGCTGGAGTCAACATGGCGCCTGTCGCACTCAAGTACAAATTTTAGTACAATAAAGTGTAGTTTATTGATGGAAGAACAGTGATTTTTGTTAGGCGGTGTTTTTGACAAATTTCTGTGTCGCGGATGAGAATTTGAGCGAGGCGCGTGTCAATGCAGGGGAAACACTGTATTTATTTTTGGGTTGACACTATTTTGACAACGGCGGGTAAATACAGGAATATTTTCGCAACGGCGATGTTAAATTTGACAACGGCGGTGCGCCACTGTGCCTCTTACGTAGAAGAAGCCTTTACACTGCACTCGGCTGCTAGGTAGCTAGCTCGGTTCGTTCGTTCAACCGGCCGGTGCGGGGCGCGGGCCGGCCGGGGCGCGAAATTTTTTTTCCCACGAGAGTTCCGGACCCCAGCCAATCAGCGCACTCCATTTAGACACATTAGAATGCGACAGGTGTTGAATAGACAATAGAAAGACAAATAATAAAACAATAGACAATATATAATTGATAACAGAAAATATATATATAATAGACAATATGATCAGCAGGAATAGACTATAGAGGAAATCTAATCGTCATGCCATACATAAGCTTCGTAACGGCCTATGATAGTCGGCCGTTCTCCTATTATACATTTATCTAAATTATACGGGCCTTACCTGAGAGATTCTCGTACCATTTCGCCTTGTTCTTTGGTTAAGATAAATATATAGTTATAGGCAGGCGGTATCCGGATAAAAGAAACAGGTAAGTCAGCGACTTTACAGGTTGTAGCATAAACTAGGAGTAATAACGAGCCCCGCACAATCCTAGCGTGTAGACCGAGTGTGAACAAACAACGGAAACTTGCAAAACAAATGTCAGATACGGTCATAATGAATTAAACAAGTCTCTCAATAATAATTGGTTTTTAGTGCTCACGTGTATAAATCGTTTGGAAATTCAATTGGATAACGTCGCAGGTACTATGAACAATTAGTGCCGCCTCACTATTGCTTATGCGCGCGAGCATTGGCATTATTATAACGCATTGTGTTACGTCACGATCTCCTGCGTCCTGGGCGCCAGCCAAGAGCTTTCGATATAAGCGATTTTGATTTGTGTTGATGCGTTTATTGTTACATCGAAATTGCACCGTCAAATTAGCGGAGTATAAAAGCAAGGTATTAGTAAGCATGTAAAAGTAAACAGAAACACTATTGTTATTTTCAACGATTTTTTTTGTCAAATAACACACAAGTATTACTATCGTTGCTGGTGCTGGAATTCGTGACGGTAGACAGTTTAATACAAATTGAAATTGTTTCGTTTAATGAAAACTTTGTCTTATTCGACTTCATATTTGCAAGTAGATGCAAAGTCAGTGTGTGATGCCACTAAAAACTTTAATGCTGTTGTTAGCGCGGCACTGATGCGCTGTCATATGTTGCTTTGGGAAGGAATAGTGCCCTCGCTTTCACCTGCCCGCAGCCGTCGGGCCACTATACCTTTCCGCACTCAGCAACACTATATGAGAGCATTCAGTACTGTGGGCCCCACAACAGGCATTAATATTTAATTACTTGCGCATGTCATATTAAAATGTGTTTATATGCGTATTGGAATAGTGGATATAGATAATGTATTGTGGTGTTCAGCTAGTAGAATCTCTTATTCAATTAATGCCTTAATGATGAGAAACAAAATCGTTAATTGTATCATCGTATACAGACAAATCTGTAATACAAAGCGTCACTCTAAGGAAACCGACCAGTGTCCCTCAAGACAAGCATACGGTTTCTATTGGCGTGTGTTCATTATATACAACTGACATTCAAAGAAACGCATGAAGTCTCCTGTATAGACAGGTGTCCCTCTCTAGAGAGGTGACCGCCACCACAGTTTGGCGCTGCCATAGCATATGACTTGTTCATCAGAATGTGCAACAGCAGGATAACGGCGTGCAGGCAGACGCGCCTACATTTAACCACTAGATCGGGATCTGCTATCGTTCTTTTGGATGTTGTCAGAAACATTTTAGTCGTCAATCTTCACTCTTAGCCGCTAAACGATTTTCCACGTGGAACAGCTGACCAATGCTACACTTACATCTATAGAAAACACTACAATCTTTCATAGTAGAGCTATAATATTTTTCACCTGATGCCTATGAATATTATTAATAAAGTTAATCATTTTTGCATTCTCGGACTCACCGTTGATTCGGACGAGAAACTGTGTGGCTTTTTCCACCGAAGGTAGAGGCAAGCCAATCGATGCCGCTCCTCCCATAATCCACCTGAAGAAAACCGTCAGTAATCTAACAGCAGCGAATATATGTCGTCGCTGATAAGCTAGCGCAGCCAGCAGCAGTTGCTCATGAAAGTCCTTGCCCAATCAAGCGTATTAACGGACTATACATCAGTAGTTAAGATAACAAAATAAGATACCGTAATGAGTGTAATGTTTAAGATCCCTTATTATCATACTCCTGATAATACACACACACGCCCACACACAGAAACACAACGCACTAACGCGCGCGCGGACGAAACCGCACACCTCGCACACGCACCACTGGGTCGTGGGTTGGGGGGGGGCTACGGGGCGGCGCCACGCGCATCGCCGCCGCGCGCTTTATTTGCTTCTCTCTTTCTTCTCTCTCTCTCTCTCTGCGTCTTCTCTCTCTCTCTCTCACTACACAGTCACACACGACGACAGCGCAGGCAGCAGCACACACACCACACACACATCACACACACACACACTCGCACACGCACACGGCACAGCACACGCACACCACACGCACACATGCCATGAGGCTTGCGCCCGCGCGTGTGCATGGCGATATAAATAATAATCATAATTAATAATAATAAAACAGGACGGAATAAAACAAAACTTGCTTTTAATTACTCGTTGCTATAATAATTGAGACTAATTCGTGTGAGATACGTTTACCAGTCCAACAATGCATATTCTTACTTCTAGTTAACTAAGACTTCTAAGTGTTCTAACTGTAATTAAAATCTGTAAGCATAGCAATAAGCCAGCCACTATCAGGTTGGTCGTTGATTTCGGGCCGGACGCAGCTCTTAGCCAGATGTGACAACCGATTGGTTGTAATTTGAGGTTATGAGTAAAACACGTAAAACTAGTCTAACCAGGCCGACCTAAGCCCAATAATAATTCAAGTGAGCACGGCTATCTCGCTCGCGCGGATAGCGTCTATAGATAATAATAATAAATAATAAATAATAATAATAAATAATAATAATAATAATAATAATAATAAGGGATCGTTCAATTATCAACATATTACAATGCGCTACAACCGTACGCTGAGGGGATGGGTCAATGCCCGCCGTCGCTTATCAGCATTTCCGAAAAATGTCAATCCATTTGCCGCGCCGCGCCGCCCCAGCATCGCGCGAATCCTCACGCGCGACGCTCCGAGCCCCGTGCCGCGAACATATTTTTTTTCCCACTGCAGAGTTGCCAGGACCCACCACAGATATGTAGTCTTTGTAAAGTATATAGGTTCTATATAAGACGAGAAGCCTGGTTGGATTATAGTTAGTGTGTAGGG